CAGGCCGTCAAGGCGCTGAAGGGAGCCGGCAGGGAGGTCATCCTCGAAGGTACGGATAAACTCCTCCCCGGTCCTTCCTCTCTCCTCTCCCGGTTCCCCCGGTACCGAGTCCCGCGACAACCCCTGCCACTGTCACCGGGCTCCCGGACGCCCCTTGGGCCCTTTTTCCGGTTACAGGACCCCACTCCTCCCCCTGCCCCACCCCGCTCACGGGACGCGCCCCCTCCCAAGGCCCCCAGCTCCGGTGCTGGGTCGCGATGTGTCCCCACCTGACGAGGGGACAGAGGTGTCCCGGTCGGGCTGCTCCTGCTTGTGATGTGTCAGGGACCCCTGCCCGCAGGAGACAAGGTCCTGCCACTTCTGCTTCTTCTTCTTCTTCCCCCTTGGACAGAGCTAGGGGTCATCCCGGGCAGAACTGGGGTCCCCAGGACATGGCATCTCCCCAGGACTCAGTGTCTTCATCTTTGGGGAGAGAAACCCTGGGGATGGGTTCTTGTGCCCTCCGGGCAGGCTGTGGTTCCCCACGGGGTGACTTTAGGCTCTGCCCGTATCCCCTGTCCCTGAAGTGCAGCCGTCTTGGGGCTGGCCAAGTGAAGCCACCAGCTCCTGCCAGACCTGTTCCCAGCAGCCCGACAAGCTCGGGCAGGACCTGCCTGGCCCGGCGGCATGTGGTGTGGGGCTCGTGCCGTGGGGCTCGTGCCGTGGGGCTCGTGTCGTAGGGCACCACACCCAGCAGAACATGACCTCCCTGTGCCGTGGCTCAGGGTGGTCTGTACAGGACCCTGGTGCCACACACACAGTCCTGGTGTCCTGGCAAGGCTGGCTGTCCTCCTGCTGCTCTGTGGTCACAGTACCCGGTTGCCTGCCCAGTGGGTGCTGGGCTGACCATAGCTCTGGGCACTCCTGCGCTCCCGCCTGCTCCCGGCACACTTCAGGCAGGTGGGTGGGCTCACTGGCTTGGCTGGATTTGGCACAAAGTGGCCCAGTGTGGCTTGGGGACTGTGGTGTTGGGCTGTGGTGGGAAAGGGCCACCATCAGAGGCAGCAGGAGTCCCACAGGACTCCGTGCTGGATTCACCGTGTCCCCCCCATGTCCCTTCCCCTTCTGCCCTCTCATGCCGCCCGGCTGTT